GGAAGCCATTTCTTTACTTTTGCCATTGAGTTACATTTTGTTGTTGTGTCAGGTCTTTGTAGACCTGATGTGATATAATTTAATATAACTTTTTTTATAGTATGGCTTAGGGAGGGCAGCCACAACTTGGAGACGAAAAAAGTGGGTATTTGGCATATTAGGAGTAAAGGATAAGCGACGACATCCAGTCTTACAGCTTGTATAGAGAAGAGGAAGGCAGAATCTTGTACCAATCGTGGTCAAGCATGTGCAACCTGGCACCACCATTATAAGTGACGAATGGAGAGCTTATAGTGGTGCATTAGCTGCCATGGGCTACACTCACTTCAGAGTAAATCACAGACAGTGGTTCCTGGATCCCCACACCCAGCATCTCGAGAGAGCATGGTTGAAGTACAGCTCTACTATTTGGAGACTTGGAGGAAACGGAACAGAAAAAATCCTGAAGCAACACCTCTCAGTCATTGAATGGACTCACTGGCTGGCTGACGAACATAGCCAGGGTCCCCTTGGTAGACTATTAAAAGACATTCGCTGGGATTAAAGTTCTCCGTCGCTACGACAGATTTCCGTTAATTGCAGCGAGTCTACAAAGGATTTCCGTCAACTGGAAAAAATGAGGGGAAAAGAAACATGTAGCGCATTGTTGTTGTTGTACCAAAAATAATCTCCGCCACGGCTGCAGCTTCTCAGTGACAACATAGGGATGCCGCTCACATCATTCACAGTCGGTTATTAGCAGAGAACACAGAGCAGGTCTTGAATTTCGGCGCGGGATTGCGGCTATTAATAATAATTTACTCATTTAGGTTCCGCGCTTATAACGCGATGACGGAATGTATCATTTGTATCAATGTATCAGTCTTGAGAACTCACTTAGGCCACCACTTTTGCAGAGGGGTCCTCGCACAGCCTGATAAGCGCCCGGACCCACTGCTGGTGTCGGCACATGCAGCTGGTATCCCTAAACCAGCGCTCTCAAGGTCTCCAGTTCCTGAACTATTTCCCCTGTCTGTAGCGCTTCCCACAATGGGGATTGCTTTATGGTGTATTTGGGCTGCATACACCACCACTGAAACTTTAGAGACGGCGACGGCCACTGTGATGTCTCCCGAGGTGTCGGCTGATGCTGCAGATCCTCCCGAGGCAATGGCACCCGCTGTAGCTTCTCCAGTGGTGGTGGCCCATGCTGCAGAACCTCCCGAGGTGGCGGTGCTCGCTTCAGCTCCTTGCGCGGTGGTGGCGCCCGTTAGGCCACCACTTTTGCAGAGGGGTCCTCGCACAGCCTGACAAGCGCCCCGTGTCAGGCGGTTCATGGACGCTGCGCGCCACGCCCTAGACAATTTTTCCCGCCCCCGACGACCGCCCGGGCGCCCAGGGGAGGCCCGGCGGGGCACGCCGGAGGCGCGAGTCGGGGCCTGGGGCCCCCGGGGGCCCCACGGAACGGCGACGGATCTGGGCACTTTTTTTGCTCATTTTGTTGCAATCTGTAGGTCGGCCACAGGGGGGCGGACTCCTGACGCGGGGCACTTACGCGATGCCCGTCGAATAGGTTGGGGTGGCCGTCCACGGGCAGCCTAAACCTCCCACGGAGCGCTTATTTGGCCGGAAGCTCCCTACCAATTTGACCACGGACTGCCTATTCGTCCCCCTGACCACCTATTTTTGCCTCGGACCGCCAATTCGTCCCACTTACCACCTATTTGACCACGAAAAGCCTGTTCATCCCACTTACCACCTATTTGACCACGAAAAGCCTATTCGTCCCCAGGACCGCCCATGTGACCGCAAAAAGCCTATTCGTCCCCCTGACCTCCTATGTGACCACGAAAAGCCTTTTAGTCCTCCTGGCCATAATGAGGATTTTATCATTTAAAACACATTTATTTATTTACATTACAACAAATTTGGTAAGTACACTTGGGAAACAGCGTCTGACAAGTTAATGTACATCTGTCAGATTTCCATGGGCCCCACTCAGGCACCAAAACAGCTGAATGTGAGCTTTTATTTCTCCATTTCATGCTCATTGGAGGCTTACATTTATTTAATATATAAAATTATGATCTTTTGCAGATTTCTAAAGGTACAAAAAAGAAAAATGAGTGACACTGATGACAGTGGGGTGGGGATTCCTGGTTTCAACAGTACTGTAAGTACAATATAAAACCAAACAATGAAAATGAATTTAACAAAATTAATGGAACTTATTGTGCAACATTTCACATTTCATTGCTTTGTTTTTTTTTCTATGTTGTTTGCCCCAGGCAACCACCGTGATCCTCACAGCCTCTGTAAGTTTTGTATACTTTTCATTAAGTTGTTCATATACATTTAGACAGTGATTATTATGTGTTTTGATATTTGACAGTTGTTGTGGTGTGGTCTTTTGAAGGACACCTATGAACACACCAGTGATGATGATGATGATGCAGGTCTTGGCCCTCCATTTCCACCTTCATCTCCACCACCTCCACCTCCTCCACCTCCATCACCACCACCTCCACTTTCCCCTTCCTCTTCCCCACCACCTTCCCCTTCCTCTTCTCCAACATCTTCCCCTCCACCTTCATCTCCCCCACCTCCACCCCCACCACCTCCATCACTTCCACCTTTGCCATCTGAAGAAGTAATGTATTTCTAAAGCACTGAAGTATATTTGAAGCATTCAGTTCATAGCTCTTACATTTAATAGGTTATGTCTTTTTTGCCTAAAACTGCAAACTCAGTCAAGGGATTCAAGATTTAAATTGCTTTATTGCCATGGAAACAAACACATACATGGTTTCATTATTATAATTATTGATATTGAAATTTATATCTAAAATTAGATTTCACCAGTATTGTTTGTTAATTTTGAATTTGCTTTTTCCTTCTCTCTAGTACTTTGCCGATGACGAGGCAGAGGAGCACTGATTTTTTTCCTTTATTTGTAAATTATTCATTTTTATAATTTACTAAATAAATATTTTACTTACCTTAACTATGGACTCAGTTGTTATTTCATTTTACTTTATGGATATGTGTGTACAAACTTCAACAAGTTCAACAAAATATGATTGGTTTATCCTGTTTAAATGTAATATTAATATCTGTTCATTTGAATTTTTAATGTTACACCTAATTGATCAATATTTGAAGTGTTATATTTTAATATTCACATTCCCCTTATAAAAGGTCTGTCCACGGAAAGCCTATGTAGGTACCGTCAAGTAAGTTACAGGTGTCACTTGCTGATGTTGGGAATTGGAGTTGGATTTTGGTGATTTTCACCACTGCATTCCCACCTGTAACTTATTTGACGGGGCCTCCACAGGCTTTCCATGGACAATGCATTAAAAGGTCATATGTCATAAATACGATGATTTTATTGAGTAAATCCAGCTATACAGTGCTCAGGAAATGCCATCCAGCAGTGAAATGGCTTAATTTGCATTAAAAACACCGTCCACGGAAAGCCTGTGGAGGCCCCGTCAAATAAGTTACAGCTGTCACTTGTCACTTGCCCCCCCGTAACTTATTTGACGGGGACTCCACAGGCTTTCCGTGGACAATGCATTAAGGAGTCATAATTTAAGTTTTAAATCATTTTATTATGCAAAACGTACAGTGCTACTCTCTGGAGACACTGTCTGACAAGTTCATATACATTAGAACTCATCAATATTCATATTTACCTCAAAAAAGGTCTGTCCATGGAAAACCTAGTTAGGTACCGTCAAGTAAGTTACAGGTGTCACTTGCTGATGTTGGGAATTGGAGTTGGATTTTGGTGAGTTTCACCACTGCATGCCCACCTGTAACTTATTTGAAGGGGCCTGGAGGGCCCGGCGCCCGGTGGGCTATCGACTTGGGGGAGGCGGCGTCGGATAGGGGGCCTCGGGCTCTATCTTCGACCCAAGTTTCAAGTTCCTAGGCCTCGGCGTTCCCGATCGGGCGTGGGTCAAACTTCCACCCACCCCCTCTCCGGAGGCCTTCCCCGGGATAGAGCACCTCTGCCGGGCAAGGCTCCTATCTCGACCGCGGCAGCTATCTCCGGCGCCCGGTGGGCTATCGACTCGGGGGAGGTGGCATCGGATAGGGGGCCTCTGGGTCTATCTTCGCCCCGAGTTTCAAGCCTCGGCGTTCCCGATCGGGCGCGGGTCAAACTTAAGTTTTAGTTTTATCTTTTTTATTTGAGTTATTTTAATACTTCAACAAACTAATTGGAAATGAAATAATATACAGGAAGGGGGCAAAAACCTTTTCACAGCACTCTATATGTAGTTGTTTTTTGGTGTTTGGCTTAGTGTTATGTTAGAATCATTATTATACTCTTATGCCTTATGTTTTTTAATATTTTTAACTGTTTTTAAATTTATTTTTTGTTTTTAATTTAAATGTTAAGTTTTTTAATTTTGTTGTATGCATTTGTCATTTTTAATTTCTTTATTTTTAAAATGTGTATAAGTAGTATTTATTTATATATATATATTTAGTTGTTTTAATACTACAATTGTTTGCATCTGTTGTCCTCATTTGTAAGTCGCTTTGGATAAAAGCGTCTGCTAAATGACTAAATAAATAAATACTGTTCATTGTGTTTGTATTCAGTACACGAAAATGTAGTAATAAAAGGAAAAACATTGCAACTAACAAAACCAGTCTTCATGTTTTTCTTATGTTGTTGTACTGTTTGTTATCGCTTTATATCTGTTATTTCATCTGTTGCTTCATTTATCCCATTTTTCAATTATTTAATAAGCCTGTTTACTTGTGTGTGTGTGTGTGTGTGTGTGTGTGTGTGTGTGTTTTATTCTGATATTTAGATTCTTCAAGAAGTCGGAAGTAAAAAAAAGATTTATTGCCAAGGGATTTTGGTGTCCCAAGCTGACAGTACACAGCACACAGACAATACAAAATAAGATGCGAATAAAAATACACATATGTAAATATAAATAAACAAAAATAGAAAAATAAATTGAAAAATAAAAAAAGTTTGTGTAACTTTTGGACCTGGTCTACTCATCCAGCCAATCCAGGTCCACACCCTCTCCTCTAAAAGACTGTCTCCTAACACCATAATCAAATTTTAGCTGTGTGTCCACACTGATGTCCTGCAGTGCTCTGAATAGGATGACATCCCTGTCCTCTCCATCCACCTTTATGACACAGTGAAGAGGCTTCAGGCTGGGCATATTTGAGGAATGATTAATCCTTCTTCCAATTGTGTCTGCCTTGGGATGACACTCACAGGGGAACGTCTGAGCATCCATGCACAAGTCTCTCTTTCCAGATTTAAAAAAGAACAGGTGCCCGGCCTCATCACATAAGTCTTGGACCATGGCTCTCCCTGCTGCAGCAGTGATTACCTTCCCGTGGTAATTGCAGACATTGTCACCTTTGGAAAACCTCCGGGTTGCAACCACTCCTGTGATCAAGAGGACATTGCATTTTGAGTAAAAACAAAACTACAAGAACTGAACATTACATGTAGGCAAACTTTTCAGTAATTTGATTGTAGCTTTTGCTGCACACAATAGTTGCTAAAACGTACATTATTGTATTCTGGATATACATTTAAAAAAAAGATTTGCTAACCTAGACCTTGCTGGGGTCCAAAGTCCTTAATGGCAAGGCCTCTCCAGGTCTGCTGAGAGACATTGTTGATGATAATTTCATCACTTTCAATGGCGACCTTGGGAGCTGGTTTCCACAACAGCTCGATGTTTTCAGGCTTTGGATGGTTGGCCTTCCACCCTTCCTTCGCAATCAGCCTTGCCACAATTGCGGCTGAAGGCTTGCGGTGTGTGAATTGTGCTGAAAGAAAGGATGACATAACATTAGGAGTCGCTCTTCACACTAAATGAATGGCCTAGTTTGAATGGTGTATTGACTGTCAGTGCTGTATTTACGGATTGGGGTACTTACAAAGCAGATACTCCTCTCTCTTGACAAACTGGGAGCTTCGCCACCTGTCATAAAATACACGGTCTTCAGGAAACCCTTCATCGACCTGCTGTTTTTTGCTCGGTGGCTGACCGTCCAGTGAGACAGGAAATCTGGTCACAAAGGCAGAGAAGTCTTTGGTCGAAGGGTTACATTCCATGCTTGTTCCGGGACTGTTTGGGTCATCGTCTGAAGTAAAGCTGCAAAAGGAAGGAAAATAATGTTTAAAAAATAAATTACAATATTAGGACAACATAATCATGTGTACAAGTCATTTGTGGTGCGGTGTGACCCTACTGGATGAAATGACCTACCCCGCCAAGGAGTCCAGCAGCACAGCTGTGTCCACAACAAACTGAGGCTGTCGCATTCTATGTGTTTGGACCACACCAGCTCTATGTGCCAGATAATCATTTATGGCGTCCTGATGGTGCGCTAGGAGCGTTTTTGCAGCAGCCTCAATGGCCTTCCGCACATCTTGACTCTTTAACATGGGTAGCTTATACCTGCATTGAGAAATGAAATTAATTGTTATTTATGAAAATCACTGTGACTGATAAGATATAGGAAATCTATATCGATCTATGTGGGCACATACATTTCATGTAGGCGATTCATGTCTTGTGACACATTGTGAACAGCATCACCAGTGGATGAAACAAAAAAGTTGTTGCAGACTTTTTCAGGCCGAATGTGTTCAGGCCTAATCTTTTGAAAGTACATCTGAAACCACTGTGGAAATAGGACAGACTGCTATAAACTGTGAAAGTTTAAGATGTTTTTATTATAATTTTTTTTTCTAATACTGGAAAAATATCTTTATGCATTACTTTAAAACAGCACATTTATTGTATCATATTGTAGTCAGAGATTCAGTCTAATAAGGTATGCAAAGCCTTACAGCTTCCTCTCTATTGGTCAAGGCAAATGTTGCTGATGTTTTGCGGCTGCTGACGCCAGTCACAACCCTGCCACCATGCTGTATCCTGGCCACCCACTCTGCATCCTGGAAAACATTGAAGATTTTTAATTTACTAATGCATTTGTTTCAAACTATTACAGCATATCATGAGGGCCAACTTGCTAAAAATAGATAAACTTACCATCAAGCCTTCCACAGCTCTTGGGCACTGATGGTGATGGTAGATTAAGATTGCCTCACAGTAGTAACGGTACATCGTCTTTTCAGAATTCGGGACCTCACTGCCCTTCAGCAGGTTCCCATAGATCTGGAGGAAGTCTGCTTTTGCAGCTTTCAAAATCTTTTGGGAATCTTTAGTGCTGGGAGCGATCACAGTGGTGGTGGTTGTGGTGGCACCTACAGGGTCTAAGACCAGTTCAGAGTCATCAGGCTGGTTCTTGATGAAGAAACCTCGCCGGAGAAGCTCCTTCACCATGCTGACCCGAGAGTGCCTGTCAGGCAGAATCTCACAAAGCTGGTGGTAATCCCAGGTCCTGTTATTGCGGATCCACTCCCTGTTGGATGTCTTGGCCTTCTGCAGCTCATCAGATCTTTCCTCTGGCATGCAAGATTTCATACAAACCCTAGCCAGGTGAACAGGGAGGTTCTCCTGTGGCTTGTAGCACCGTAAACAGTACACAATGCTGCGATCAGCAGACCTTCAAGAAATAAACAAAACAACATTCCGAACATTTAGTAAAGCAGAGAATTTATATATATATATATATATATATATATATATATATATATATATATATTATAAACTCCGTTTTTAACAATTCTCAGAAATCTTGTTTTTTTTCATTGTGCATTCCAATTAATCTTAATCAGACTGCATTTGGGTTATTTTGACTAGGTAAAAAAAAATGCAGCTAACTAACACAAAACACTAAATATATGATAACATCATAAAACACATTATTTTTTACAATTGAACTGATTTTGCAAATAAACTCTTCATATAAGTATTTTAGTTTTTTTGTTATTTTAGTCATGCTGAGATAGTAGATGTCACAGGAATTATTCCAATGTATAGCTTTAACGGTTTACACAATTAGTTAAGGAACGAAAACACAAGCCTGACCAAAGTCAACTGTGTGAACAAAAGAAATGGGAATATAAAATAAGTAAAATGACAAAAAGTAATACATTAAAAGGACAGAATATTTTTGTGTAGATTTGCCAGACTTTTTATTTGGCTGATGTTGGAACTTGGTAAAAAAATAAAAAATAAAATAAATAACTACCTACATTTCCCAGATTTACACAAAGTTTAGGTTTTTTTGTTTGTTATTTTACTCATGCTGAGATATTAGATGTCACAGAGAGTATTCAAATGTATAGCTCTAACAGTTTACACAACAATCAAAATTAGTTACGGAACAAAAACACATGCCTTACCTTTTCTGAGCTTGTTCTGCCATTTTCAAAGAAAATAAAACAAAGGCTACAATCCAGCAAAGGAGTACCGTATGTGTACCCTGTTGAAACAAATACAAGAGGTAAAGTCTCTCACAGTTTAAGTCAATTCACACCTGTGGGGGTTGGGGTCCTCTCACCTAACTGAAGCTAAGCCAGTCAGCAGAACATATGTGAATCCATGGAACGCTAATGTAGGCCCCATAAAATAAGTTAGAGTTGGTACCTTTTCTTATTTAAAATATTTTCAAGTTAAAAAATTGCATTTTTGACTGTGTAAAAAATTATAATCACTCTTTGAAACTTCAATTTAAAACAGGCAGTGCACAGGCAGCTCGTGAGGTCAAAATACAGGCAGCAAGGGAGTGCAGCAAGTGGGGTCACAGAGAATTGTTTGTTTCCAAATATAAGGTAAATTAAACAGTATTATTATTATGAGAGTTGTGCATTATTGTGCATAATAATATAAGGTTATTGTGTGTGTGTGTGTGTATAATGTATGTATGTGTGTATATATATATATATATATATATGTTTATATGTGTGTGTGTGTGTGTGTATATATGTGTGTATATATATATATATATATATATGTTTATATGTGTGTGTGTGTGTGTGTATATATGTGTGTATATATATATATATATATATATATA